TGCAGCAGCCGGACGAGAAGAAAAAATGCAGACTTTCGGCTCTGCTTCAGACGGTGGGACGCTTGTCCCACGTGTCAGTGCGTCGAGCGAGTTTGACTCCACCGAGCGGTCATTTCTACCTCGCGGACGGCCACGTAAATTGTATCCTGACTGGTGAAATACGAGCTCCGGGAAAACGGTCAACGCCTTGCTTGTGGTACTGCCTCATCGCGACGTTCGTATCAGCTGATCGAGTAGGTCATCGTGGTTGCGGCCAGCATGTGTGTTTGTACACCACGCCACCCGTTGCTACCGTGTTTGTTTGCACACCACGCCACTCATTGCTACCATGTGTGTTTCTACGGCACATGGCAATAGTGCGTGGCGCCCTCTCGCGTTCACCCGACTACGTCAGTGCGTGGTTGTACCTTTACAGTGAAAACGCTTCGCGCTATTGCACGCAGACTTTGTTCATTCCTCAAGTTCACACGTCCTGCTCAAGCTGAAGGATCTATCTAGTGTCAATCTGTCGATCCTTCTATCTATCTACCTGTCTATCTGGCGATCTACCTGTCTATCGACACGATCATGAAGTTCCCTCGGGTCTACACAACGATCGGTTCTCTTCTCCTACTCATTGCAGAATCAATCCATCTCGCCCAAGCTCAATGCTCCGACGTCCACGTCGTTTTTGCTCGCGGCAGTGGTGAAATGCAAGGTCTCGGTATCTGTGGCGAGCCCCTCGTCAGCGGCATCACGTCCAACCTCGGCGGCATGAGCGTCACATCCTATGCAGTGAACTACCTCGCATCGATGGACCAAAGCAGTGCTGGTCCTGGCGCCACTGACATGACGAACCATGTCACGTCAGTGGCTCAAGCATGCCCCAACACCGTCTTTGTGCTGGGTGGGTACTCGCAAGGAGCCAGCGTCGTATCCATCTCTCTCGGCATCAGTACGATGCTCGGTTCTGGAGAAGCCATCCCGGAGACCTTGGCGCCTAAAATCAGCGCGATCGTCACGTTCGGCAACCCTTTGAAGCTCACGGGTCAGACGATCGATAGTTCGAGTCAGACGTACGCGTCCAAGGCGATTGAATTCTGCAACATGGGCGACCCGGTGTGCGGCGGCGGCTCTAACACAATGGCGCACATGATGTACGCAACGGACGGAAGCGTGGCGACCGCAGCACAAAAAGCTGCTGCATTGGTACAAGGCAACGCGGGGGTGCGTGGCAACGCGGGAGCGCAGGGTGACGGAAGCCCCCCGAGTAACGCGGGAGTGCAGGGCAGTCCGGGAGTGCAAGGCGGCGAGGGCTTCCAGGGCAACGCGGGAGCGCAGGGTGACGGAAGCCCCCCGAGTAACGCGGGAGTGCAGGGCAGTCCGGGAGTGCAAGGCGGCGAGGGCTTCCAGGGCAACGCGGGGTTCCCGGGTAACTCACGGTTCACGGGATTCGGGTTTCTTAGGTAACTCAGTGTCCCCGGGCAACGCGAGGGCGCCGCGTGCATTATTTCTGTATGCTCTACTATCGATATGATGCGTAATTGTGGAGCTCAAAACAATGTGTATACGTGTATCAAGTGTTCCATGTTTGTTGCGTCGTGTCGGATAAGATAGTTCGTTGTGTCGTGTCGGATGAGTAAGTTACAGGTACGTCATCAATGGCAGGGCCAGAGTCTGGTGAGTTTCTTTTAAACAAGTACAGCTTCGAATGGCAAGAGTGCTTTGCATCATGTGGTAGACGATCGCGCCACACTGATGGTCAGAAGAACGGACGAGCTAGCGGACAGGCAGATAGGCAGAAGAACGAACGAACACGCGGACAGGTAGGTAGTCAGGTAGACAGATCGACAGACAGACGGGCGCGTCGTACATGTATTATTTCATGACCCTTCTCTTTTCTTTCCGTCCATTTCGAAACAAAGTTTCTACCTTTCTTGACGGTCAGAAAGGTTACGTAGACATCCTACCAACCCGTTCCTACCCTATCCAGGTCGAGACTTTACATTCCGAACCGCTCGCAGCTACTGATCGGTCCTTGCTAGTAGCGCTTGCGTGGCTTGATACTGCCATGTCATGGGCAAATCCAGATGATTCGGACAGCGTTTGGAAGCCAACCAGGTTCGAGTCCTTTCCGTTCATTGCATTGTCGGAGATATGCATTGCACCGCTTCGAGAGGTGATCCACATCGATAGGAGAGCGACGTGAATGACCTCTGTAAGTGACGTGAATCACGTATTCACGTTAGTTAGAGAGGTCATTCACGTCACATAGAGAGATCGTTCACGTCGCTTGGAGAGGTGACTCACGTAAGATGACAGGTTAATATTGCAGTGCAGTTGTCTGCTCGTTCGTACAAAGGGTCCTCTCAGGTGGTGGGCCGTACCATTGCGTCTATTTTTCTCGCACGTTTTCGAAAGGATATTGGGCTCGTTTCTAGGGCCAATTCGAACCGGTATTCAATTAGTTGGTGCGGTTGTAAATACCCACGGTACCGACCAGATGGTAAGCCCTTCCGTTTACAAACGCTGTAGAAGAAAAGGATGACCACCACGTAAAAACGGGAGAGGCTAAATACACCGGGCATTATGGCTGAATACACCGGCGCCTATCCATTAGACCTACAGTTTATATGACAATAGTTTTGACGCAGCCAGGCCACGTCAATTCGAATATTACAGGATAAGCTTAAAAGAAATGCATCTTTATCGTAGCCAGGCCACCTTTGGTTCTATATGCGCTGCAGCAGAGCTTCCGTGTGTGAGATTCCATAAGTGCCTTTCAGTTTGCCTTCTGAACAGTGTTGCGGACATCCTTTGCATTTATAAGGATACCCGCCTTCTTAAACTGGTAGTATCCTATGTAAATCACATACAGACAGAAAACAGATAATGACCTGCTGTATATGACTTCAACACGCACACATACACGTGAAGAAGCTCCATCTTGATGCATCTGGACGACCTTAGAATCAATATCGTCATGATTTAGCGACGCATGTCTCGCCGCCGGTAGCGCTGAGAGCATGGTCTTGCTGCTAGAACGGAAGCGAACGGTGTGGCAGTTGTGTACACAAAGCGTTGACTAGGCACTTTCTTCTGGAGCGTGCTGGTCATACATGATCCCGAGCTCGTATGATCAGCCGGCCTTTTTTGTCCCGCGATCTCGCATTGATGTGTGCCGACTGTGGGATCCGTATAATGTTTTCCCTGCGAACGTGTAAAAAGAAACTGCGCTTGGGACCTATCAAACGGCTGCGGGATACGCTGATGGCAAAGCCTTAGCGTACGGCGTACTGATTCAAAGTCCCTACAACCATCTTTTGACTGTCAAAAGGCCCGACCGGTGGAGATTCTTCACAGATCCATGAGAGATCAGCGGCGGCAGGATCAGGGCCAGTATCAACTTGAGGCGTAACATGATTGTCAGCGACGACAGAAGTAGTATCAACATCAACGACCGTAGCAGTGGCAGCAGCAGTAGTGAAGGCGGATGAAGTGCTCATCATCATGCATTGGACAGCGGAGGTTTTTTTTTAATTATCGTGGCCTAATCATGTTATGGGTGCATTTCTACTTCGCTTATCCTGTAATATTCGAATTGACATGGACTGGCTGCGTCACCACTGTTGTCATCAAACTATTGTGTCTAATGGATAGGCGCCGGTGTATTAGCAATAGCACCCGGTGTATTTAGACTCTCCCCGTAAAAACATCCGCGTAAAAGTCCGTCGCATTACGTGCAGGTGGGAGAACGCTGAGCAGCAGGTTGTGGTCAGACTGTGGGCACGTCCACCACCGCCGCTCACGTGTTGATGACAAAAGCTCTGCCGAGCAGACTCGCCGGTCTCACCACAGTCTCCTCGATGTGTGAAACGGCATTTGACGCTACAACAGAAGTGTAAAGTGACGCCATAGAGAGCGGCCAAGTTGGTAGACCGACTGACCGACGAAGGAGTTTACATAACTGGGCTTCACCCGTGCTGATGATCATTGCTGACACGGATGGCATAGGTGTTGAGCAAGCATTGACACAATGATGCCGATGCCACGATACCATCAACGAAACATGACGGTCGACGAGGCACTGCCTTCTTCACCTTCTACATCTCATCAAGTAGAAATGAAAGCACTAGCTGAACGAGCGGTGGACAGACCAGCGAATAAGGTACCGTACCTCCGTCGTGTCTGTCGCCCGTCGTGTTGACCTGACCAGTCCAACACGACCGGTGAAACTACGGCACATACCGTCAAACAGCCCTTGCACTGATGACAGCGCGGTAGATACCATGAAACGTCCCTCGGACTGATGATAGTGGCACCGAAGCAGCACAAGAAAGATAGGCTCGCAAGCAATAGGGGAGGCGTATTCATCGGAACTCCCCGTTTGTGTTCTGCACCTCGTCTGCGGTGGCGCGCGGCAATGTCAGAGCGCGGCAACAGTCTGCCACCTTTGCTGCAGCCGAACGAGAAGAAAAAATGCAGACTTTCGGCTCTGCTTCAGACGGTGGGACGCTTGTCCCACGTGTCAGTGCGTCGAGCGAGTTTGACTCCACCGAGCGGTCATTTCTACCTCGCGGACGGCCACGTAAATTGTATCCTGACTGGTGAAATACGAGCTCCGGGAAAACGGTCAACGCCTTGCTCGTGGTACTGCCTCATCGCGACGTTCGTATCAGCTGATCGAGTAGGTCATCGTGGTTGCGGTCAGCATGTGTGTTTGTACACCACGCCACCCGTTGCTACCGTGTGTGTTTGTACACCACGCCACTCATTGCTACCATGTGTGTTTCTACGGCACATGGCAATAGTGCGCGGCGCCCTCTCGCATTCACTCGACTACGTCAGTGCGTGGTTGTACCTTTACAGTGAAAACGCTTCGCGCTATTGCACGCAGACTTTGTTCATTCCTCAAGTTCACACGTCCTGCTCAAGCTGAAGGATCTATCTAGTGTCTATCTGTCGATCCTTCTATCTATCTACCTGTCTATCTGGCGGTCTACCTGTCTATCGACACGATCATGAAGTTCCCTCGGGTCTACACAACGATCGGTTCTCTTCTCCTACTCATTGCAGAATCAATCCATCTCGCCCAAGCTCAATGCTCCGACGTCCACGTCGTTTTTGCTCGCGGCAGTGGTGAAATGCAAGGTCTCGGTATCTGTGGCGAGCCCCTCGTCAGCGGCATCACGTCCAACCTCGGCGGCATGAGCGTCACATCCTATGCAGTGAACTACCTCGCATCGATGGACCAAAGCAGTGCTGGTCCTGGCGCCACTGACATGACGAACCATGTCACGTCAGTGGCTCAAGCATGCCCCAACACCGTCTTTGTGCTGGGTGGGTACTCGCAAGGAGCCAGCGTCGTATCCATCTCTCTCGGCATCAGTACGATGCTCGGTTCTGGAGAAGCCATCCCGGAGACCTTGGCGCCTAAAATCAGCGCGATCGTCACGTTCGGCAACCCTCTGAAGCTCACGGGTCAGACGATCGATAGTTCGAGTCAGACGTACGCGTCCAAGGCGATTGAATTCTGCAACATGGGCGACCCGGTGTGCGGCGGCGGCTCTAACACAATGGCGCACATGATGTACGCAACGGACGGAAGCGTGGCGACCGCAGCACAAAAAGCTGCTGCATTGGTACAAGGCAACGCGGGGGTGCGTGGCAACGCGGGAGCGCAGGGTGACGGAAGCCCCCCGAGTAACGCGGGAGTGCAGGGCAGTCCGGGAGTGCAAGGCGGCGAGGGCTTCCAGGGCAACGCGGGAGCGCAGGGTGACGGAAGCCCCCCGAGTAACGCGGGAGTGCAGGGCAGTCCGGGAGTGCAAGGCGGCGAGGGCTTCCAGGGCAACGCGGGGTTCCCGGGTAACTCACGGTTCACGGGATTCGGGTTTCTTAGGTAACTCAGTGTCCCCGGGCAACGCGAGGGCGCCGCGTGCATTATTTCTGTATGCTCTACTATCGATATGATGCGTAATTGTGGAGCTCAAAACAATGTGTATACGTGTATCAAGTGTTCCATGTTTGTTGCGTCGTGTCGGATAAGATAGTTCGTTGTGTCGTGTCGGATGAGTAAGTTACAGGTACGTCATCAATGGCAGGGCCAGAGTCTGGTGAGTTTCTTTTGAACAAGTACAGCTTCGAATGGCAAGAGTGCTTTGCATCATGTGGTAGACGATCGCGCCACACTGATGGTCAGAAGAACGGACGAGCTAGCGGACAGGCAGATAGGCAGAAGAACGAACGAACACGCGGACAGGTAGGTAGTCAGGTAGACAGATCGACAGACAGACGGGCGCGTCGTACATGTATTATTTCATGACCCTTCTCTTTTCTTTCCGTCCATTTCGAAACAAAGTTTCTACCTTTCTTGACGGTCAGAAAGGTTACGTAGACATCCTACCAACCCGTTCCTACCCTATCCAGGTCGAGACTTTACATTCCGAACCGCTCGCAGCTACTGATCGGTCCTTGCTAGTAGCGCTTGCGTGGCTTGATACTGCAACGTCATAGGCAAATCCAGATGATTCGGACAGAGTTTGGAAGCCAACCAGGTTCGAGTCCTTTCCGTTCATTGCATTGTCGGAGATATGCATTGCACCGCTTCGAGAGGTGATCCACATCGATAGGAGAGCGACGTGAATGACCTCTGTAAGTGACGTGAATCACGTATTCACGTTAGTTAGAGAGGTCATTCACGTCACATAGAGAGATCGTTCACGTCGCTTGGAGAGGTGACTCACGTAAGATGACAGGTTAATATTGCAGTGCAGTTGTCTGCTCGTTCGTACAAAGGGTCCTTCTCAGGTGGTGGGCCGTACCATTGCGTCTATTTTTCTCGCACGTTTTCGAAAGGATCTTGGGCTCGTTTCTAGGGTCAATTCGAACCGGCATTCAATTAATTGGTGCGGTTGTAAATACCCACGGTACCGACCAGATGGTAAGCCCTTCCGTTTACAAACGCTGTAGAAGAAAAGGATGACCACCACGTAAAAACGGGAGAGGCTAAATACACCGGGCATTATGGCTGAATACACCGGCGCCTATCCATTAGACCTACAGTTTATATGACAATAGTTTAATGACGCAGCCAGGCCACGTCAATTCGAATATTACAGGATAAGCTTAAAAGAAATGCATCTTTATCGTAGCCAGGCCACCTTTGGTTCTATATGCGCTGCAGCAGAGCTTCCGTGTGTGAGATTCCATAAGTGCCTTTCAGTTTGCCTTCTGAACAGTGTTGCGGACATCCTTTGCATTTATAAGGATACCCGCCTTCTTAAACTGGTAGTATCCTATGTAAATCACATACAGACAGAAAACAGATAATGACCTGCTGTATATGACTTCAACACGCACACATACACGTGAAGAAGCTCCATCTTGATGCATCTGGACGACCTTAGAATCAATATCGTCATGATTTAGCGACGCATGTCTCGCCGCCGGTAGCGCTGAGAGCATGGTCTTGCTGCTAGAACGGAAGCGAACGGTGTGGCAGTTGTGTACACAAAGCGTTGACTAGGCACTTTCTTCTGGAGCGTGCTGGTCATACATGATCCCGAGCTCGTATGATCAGCCGGCCTTTTTTGTCCCGCGATCTCGCATTGATGTGTGCCGACTGTGGGATCCGTATAATGTTTTCCCTGCGAACGTGTAAAAAGAAACTGCGCTTGGGACCTATCAAACGGCTGCGGGATACGCTGATGGCAAAGCCTTAGCGTACGGCGTACTGATTCAAAGTCCCTACAACCATCTTTTGACTGTCAAAAGGCCCGACCGGTGGAGATTCTTCACAGATCCATGAGAGATCAGCGGCGGCAGGATCAGGGCCAGTATCAACTTGAGGCGTAACATGATTGTCAGCGACGACAGAAGTAGTATCAACATCAACGACCGTAGCAGTGGCAGCAGCAGTAGTGAAGGCGGATGAAGTGCTCATCATCATGCATTGGACAGCGGAGGTTTTTTTAATTATCGTGGCCTAATCATGTTATGGGTGCATTTCTACTTCGCTTATCCTGTAATATTCGAATTGACATGGACTGGCTGCGTCACCACTGTTGTCATCAAACTATTGTGTCTAATGGATAGGCGCCGGTGTATTAGCAATAGCACCCGGTGTATTTAGACTCTCCCCGTAAAAACATCCGCGTAAAAGTCCGTCGCATTACGTGCAGGTGGGAGAACGCTGAGCAGCAGGTTGTGGTCAGACTGTGGGCACGTCCACCACCGCCGCTCACGTGTTGATGACAAAAGCTCTGCCGAGCAGACTCGCCGGTCTCACCACAGTCTCCTCGATGTGTGAAACGGCATTTGACGCTACAACAGAAGTGTAAAGTGACGCCATAGAGAGCGGCCAAGTTGGTAGACCGACTGACCGACGAAGGAGTTTACATAACTGGGCTTCACCCGTGCTGATGATCATTGCTGACACGGATGGCATAGGTGTTGAGCAAGCATTGACACAATGATGCCGATGCCACGATACCATCAACGAAACATGACGGTCGACGAGGCACTGCCTTCTTCACCTTCTACATCTCATCAAGTAGAAATGAAAGCACTAGCTGAAGGAGCGGTGGACAGACCAGCGAATAAGGTACCGTACCTCCGTCGTGTCTGTCGCCCGTCGTGTTGACCTGACCAGTCCAACACGACCGGTGAAACTACGGCACATACCGTCAAACAGCCCTTGCACTGATGACAGCGCGGTAGATACCATGAAACGTCCCTCGGACTGATGATAGTGGCACCGAAGCAGCACAAGAAAGATAGGCTCGCAAGCAATAGGGGAGGCGTATTCATCGGAACTCCCCGTTTGTGTTCTGCACCTCGTCTGCGGTGGCGCGCGGCAATGTCAGAGCGCGGCAACAGTCTGCCACCTTTGCTGCAGCCGAACGAGAAGAAAAAAATGCAGACTTTCGGCTCTGCTTCAGACGGTGGGACGCTTGTCCCACGTGTCAGTGCGTCGAGCGAGTTTGACTCCACCGAGCGGTCATTTCTACCTCGCGGACGGCCACGTAAATTGTATCCTGACTGGTGAAATACGAGCTCCGGGAAAACGGTCAACGCCTTGCTCGTGGTACTGCCTCATCGCGACGTTCGTATCAGCTGATCGAGTAGGTCATCGTGGTT